CTTCCCAGTAGGGCTAAGGCTTGTCCCCCTGTGTGGGGGGATGGCCGGGCGTGGCACAGGTGTTTAACCACGTGGCATGGCTGGGCGATGGATCAGTGGGAGCCGCGAGCTGGTCAGCGCAGCACCGGGCGCCTGGGGCCCCTCTGGACCCCAGCCAGGCAGCTCCCCCGGCCCTGAAGGGCAGAGGCCGGGATGACATGAGATGGCTGGCGTGTGTGTGATCATCGTCCGCCACCAAGCTGCTCCTGACACCAGTTGGTGAGCAGTAGTAAGGGTCCTTCTTGCTGTCCCCCTGCATGCCCCGGGACAGACTCCATCTTCCCACATCACCGCTCCTACAGAGCTTGCAAGAACCCCAACAGGAAATGAACATGGGGGGCCAAAGGTAGCAAGCAAGCATCAGCTTGTCCATGTGCACCCATCCACAGTTGACCCAAAGGAAATAAACAAGAAGATGCACATGTTTAGTCGTTTCCAGAAATCGCCTGGCATTTTGTTTTCCAAGACCATGAGAAGTAGAGGTGTGTGGACGGCTGGAAGTTCCTGTGTTCTACAGCAGAGCTGATGGCTCTAGTAATGTGTTCTATATTTTATGAAGAACTACGAGAGAGGAGTTCAAAGATTTTTAATACTTCCAAAAAAAGACAAATGCTTAAGGGAGACAGAAATGCTAATTGCCCTGATTTTTATCATGACACAGCGTACAAAGTTATCGAATTATCACACCCTACCCCATAAATACGTACGATTATTAGATGTCAATTAAAGTGCAATTCCTTTACAGTAGTCCTTTGGCTAATAAATGCTATTCATCTTCAAAGAGAAAAAATGTCATCCAGGGAGAAGTTCAGCAAAGGAGGGGAGGAACAAGACTCCACAGCTGTACGTGGAAGAAAAATTGGGCCATTTAGAGATTTTTCTGAGGTCTCCAGTTTCCCGCTTTGATACCCCTTTTGGAGCAGTGTGTGTGTGTGCGCGCCCACGTGCGTGCATGGGTGTACTGTGCAGGTGATCAATGTTTGCGCTGCGGCCCTGGGGCGGGGAGTGGGTCTCTGTACATCAGAGGAGTCTTAGTGGGCTTGCTGGCTGCCTTGTACAGACAGAGCCGTGTCCCTTCCCCCGGGGGGCTGTGGCAGTAGGGGTGAGGGCGCAGGACACAGATCGGAGCTTTCTGACCTGGGCTTCCTCTCCCGTACCTCAGCCGCCCCAGGCAGGTCTTCTTCATGTACACTCCATCTGCCCAGCAAGATGTGGAATGTCATCTGGGACCGCAAGGTGGGAAAAGCGTGTCCAGAGTCCCTCGGGTCACGGGGACAGTCTGCTGCTGCGTCCTGTGGCTGCTGTGTGTCTTTGACAGCCATGTTTGGGAAGCCTGCCCAGCACGGTGGCTGTCCACCACGGCGAGCTTTCTGGGGTCTTTCAGTAATGTCTGGAGGCAGATTTGATGGCCACAACTGATGTATCGCTGCTGGCATCTAGTGGGGGGAACAGACCAGAGCCTGCAGTGCCCAGGCCAGTACCCTACACACGCAGTTCCCCTCCAGCACAGCGAGGGCTGGACCAGAGCCGGGCCTATGGCAGGAGCTGCTGGGGGAGGTTGTTATTAAAGATCTCTCACAGCAGAGCGCAGGTTGTTAGTAACATCAGTGGGAAGACAAGTAGAAGAACACCCATGGAATTTTCTTTCCCTGCTATGGACCGGGGGTATTCTGAAGGAAGATGTCCATCTGGCGGAGGAGAGGCCACAGACACCAGGACACCCTTGAAGCAGGCCACCACGTGAGGCCCGCTCCCTCCAGAGCAGAAATGGCTGCCAGCCTCGTCCAAGATGGACGCCGCCCAGCCCCGGGAAGCAGACAGCCTCCAGCCACAGCTTCTGGGGGCCCCTCCCGGAAGCTGAGCCATGCTGCTCTCAGGCTGGCTCTCCATGGGCCGAGATTATTTGCAGCAAAGACGACTTGTCCCTCGGGTACCCTGCCTTACTCTGGGCCGCTCAGCCGAGCTGCCAGCAAGGGCTGGATTTTCATCTCTGTCTACACGCCCTGCCATCTGGCCTCTTTCCCCCTCTCAGGACATGCTCCTAAGGCACCTGCTCGCTTAGCTTCCCAGGGCGCTCGGCGGTCTGACTCACAGGCCACAGGAGCTGGGGAGAAGAGCGGCCCGATCCAGCTCCAGCTGTGACTCAAGCCATCAGCAAAGCTCAGGTCCCCGCTGCCCTCATCTGCATTGTGGGCACCATCATGGCTCCTACCTCGGTGTTGACAGCAAGTCAGTCAAAGTACCCTCACAAGGCACTCTGTAGCAACAGATACTGCGATTCTTGCTCGTGCTGTAGTTTAGGCCCCAGGGACCAGTACCAAAAGGTACCACCAACCTGTGACTTCTGTGCTGGGGTTCTCCTGGCACGTGACGGTCACCGAGCCTGAGAGGGGAAAATGACGTCCCAATATTCTTAAACACATGGTGAAGAAGGAGGGAGAAAGGGGTGGGAAGAACGTCAGTAATTTTGCCCACAAATGTTGTTGTTATTCAGATAAGATTTAACTTCACCCAGCATTGAAACAGAAAAGAAGGAAAGGACATTAAATTCACATAAGTGCCAGATTACGCACACTGGAGTCAGAAATACTAACTCCATCTTCCTAACAGAGGAGTGCGGCCGGCTGGAATGGGTTGTGGAAGAGGCTGGAGAGTCTCGATAGATCATCCCTCCGAGCCGTCAGCGGTAAAGTGGCAGTTACTAAATTATTTGACATGTCCCGTTAGTCATCTTTAATGAGCAGCAGCGAACAAGGCTGCAGGCTCACTCTCCGGAAGGGCCTGGTGTGAGGCTGTGGCAGGAGGGTGGGGTCTGTGGCCCGGGAGAGAGGCTCTGCCCCGAGCTCCCACAGGACACACCCCGACCCGGCTCTCCTGCCCATGCTGGAGGCCCCACTCTGGGGAATCTGGGCTTGTTTCCCCAGCGCCCAATCGAGACTGCCACACAGGGTTCCCCAGGGCTCCACGGGGTTCCACGGGCTCTGTGGGGTACCAAAGGGCTCCGCGGGGCTGCTGAGTTAGTTTGGTGGCCCAAGGATCCCTTGACTATGAGAGAGCAGGTGCGAAGAGGCGGCAGCCAAGGAGAGGACCGACCCTCCCCTGCCACAGTGACAGTCCGTGAGTCCGACGACCTCAGACAGTGGATGCAGAGTCTCTCCCGGGTCTGGAGACTCCATGTCTGCGTGGCCCCGATGAAGGCTGCCGCTGGCCTTGTCCAGCGCCAGAGTCTGCGCATGGCACTCGTGGGCTGGAGTCTTTGGATTCCCTTCTCCTCTCCACCTGCACTGTATCGGCGGCCAGAGAGCTCCACGGCCCACATGCAGAACGGGTTCAGCTCCTCTTCTTGTAAAGCGTGGTTTAGCCTGTTCTCTGCAAACGAAGCTTAGGAGACATTTGTTATTCCTCCTCCCGCTCCCTCCAGCCCTCCTTGAGCCCTTCTTCTGCTTCTTCCCCCCCTCCCTCTCTCCTTCCCTCCCCTCCCTCCTTGCCTGCTCCCTTTCTCCACCCTTCTCATTCAAGAAGCCAGCTCCTTTGTGACAACCCCGTCTGAGTCAGAAACAGAAGGCCTGAAAGAGAAACAGCCTTCAAGTAGAGTCCTTGGGCCTGAAGCAAAACAAGCCATGGCCAGGCCACAGATTACTCTAAAGCAGCCAAGTTTGTTCCATTGTGCTTCGCAATCAGACTTAAGTACCTTAGCTCTTGGCAGATATGGAGGACAACGAACCCTTCCAACTCCTAAGTGGAGCCAGGTACACATTTCTATTCTGAGCTATCGATCCGCCCCGCCCCTGCCCAGTCTCACAATAGCGCCTCTTGTGCGGTTGGTGTCTGTGAAGCCAGAGGCCAGAGAAAAGCTCCTATGTCGTCGGACATGCCTTTATATTTGCACAACCTGCAATCTCTGCTCTGCTTTTCTTCACGCCCCTGTAAGTGCTGAAGGGCGGCTTTTGTCCTCAGAATGGACAGAAACCAGGAAAGCCCTCTGGCCCAGCCTGGGGAGGGGAGCCGGGGGGTGCCCACCTCGGCCCTCTCTCTGCCTCTCTTGGGAGATGGGATTTGATGTTGCTGGGCCTCTCGTTCATCGCCTGTGCAGTGCAGGGGGGGGGTAGCAGTGTCTGCGCCCTCTGGGGCTGGGGTAGTGGGCACGGAAGCAGGATTCCTGGACCGTGCCTGGCAGCCCCGTTGTGTGCCCAGTCCACACCTGCCCAGCAAAGCCCAGCTCAGGGTCATGCCGGGCCCCAGGGTGCAGCATTCTCTCTTGCTCTGAGAGGCAGTTTGAGGGAGAGAACGCATCTACCCCAGCCCACGATGGGTCTGATCTTCAAGGGTCTGAACAGGGTTTCCTGAGCTGTGCCTCAGTATGGACAGGACGGTGCTCTTCGGGCCCCAACCCTGCCCCGGCCCTGCCCCAGCCCTGCCCCAGCCCTGCCCCGGCCCTGTCCCAGCCCTGCCCCAGCCCTGCCCCGGCCCTGTCCAGGCCCTGCCCCGGCTCTGCCTCCTCCCATCCGAGAACCTCCCTGTACCTTCAGGACAGCAGCATGTATCCAGTAGCCTGATGCCTACTTCCTTCTCCTGTGGTCACCCAAACTCCTGCTGCCCCCTCTCCTGAGGGCAGCTGGATGATAGCCAGGTCCAACCCAGAGAACCTAGGACAGGCTTCTTTTCTTAAGACACTTCATGATTCACAGTATAGCTATTAAATATCCCCCCCCCCACACACACACAGGAGATGCAGGATGGCTCTGTCAGCCACTCACTTGTCATTACAGCTGGGAATAAAAGACCCTCAGTGACCTCCCCCTGTCGTGTCCCGGGCTCTGCTCAGCAGCAAACACCCGCACATGCACATCTACTCTACCCAGGGATTTCCCCCTCAGCGCAGCCCCAGGCTGCCGGGGTCCCTGGGCTGTGGAACGAAGTGAGAACTCACCCCACCCCCGCCCTCTCCGGCCCCTCAACAGGTTTCTGACCGGTGCGACTATGTCTTCGTCAATGGGAAAGAGATGAAAGGCAAGGTGAATGCGGCGGTGGAGTTCACCTACCAGCACCTGCACAGCACCCTGGAGATGACCGTGTGGGTCCCCCGGCTCCCGCTGCAGATCGAGGTGTCGGACGCGGAGCTCAACCAGATCAAGGGCTGGAGAGTCCCCATCTTCTCCAGCAAAAGGTGTGTGTGTGGAGGCCCATGCCCGGTGTGCACACACCTGGGCAGGAAATGAGACCCTGTTTCAAAATAACCAGTGCAAACCAAATCTGGAGGTATAGCTCAGCAGTGGAGCACCTGCCCAGCATGCTCTAGGACCTGTTTGAACCCCAGTACCACCGACCCAGTCCTGAGTGTCCATCGATCACGCATTTTAAATCAGGGTACATTAATTGTATACAGTGAGGGGTTTCATTGTGATATTTCCATGTGTGTATATAATACACCCAGCCTCCTCTCCCCTCCATTTTATATTCATGTCCTTATTTCAGTTTTGATGGCTTTAGGTCTCGGTCCTATGAGAGGGGGAAAAAGACACTCAGGGCTTTTCTCTGTGGGACTGGTTCATGTCCCATAACGTGATCATCTCCAGTTCCGCCCATTTGCCAGCCAATGCATCACTGCATGCTTCTTTGTGGCGCGGTCAGGCTCCCTCATGTGTGTCTACCACATGTCCTTTGCACACCCATCTTCCAGTGTGCACCCTGGCTGGCTGCCTAGCTCGGCCACTTCAACTACCACCGCAGCAGACAGGGCCATGTGGAGATGCCCACAGCGGGCTGCTCACGCTGTTCCAGGCATACACACAGGGGATCTGTTCACCTGCAGCGATTCCTTGACAGGCCAGCTCGGGACAGCGAGGAAGAGGAGGAGGAGGACAGGAAGGGCCGCGGCTGCACCCTGCAGTACCAGCACGCCATGGTGCGGGTCCTGACGCAGTTTGTGGCTGAGGCGCCTGACCCCGGGGGTCACCTGGCCTACCTCCTGGGCTCGGACTGGCACATGGACATCACCGAGCTCGTCGGTGACTTCATGCAGGTGGAGGACCCCAGGATCGCCAAGCTTCAAGGACAGATCCTGATTGGGCAGGAGCTGGGTATGACCACCATTCAGGTGAGACATCTCTGCTGGCCGGCTGGCCTCTTCCCTGCCCCGCCCATGCTGCTCTCCATGGCTGCTTTGAGCAGATCCTGATCGGAGGTAATGGTGATGACATCATAACTGGTGTTAGGATGACATCCTCCTAAGAGCCACCAAAATCTTACAAAGCAGAAAGTGGAGGGGGAAACCTGTTTTATCCAGGTGAGCAGAGATGGAGAAGCAAGGTCCTTGCTCTGGGGCCAGACTGGACCCGCCCCACTTTCCAGGTCACTCCAGCCGTACAGAGGAGAAGTGAGACTTGGGACGTCTGCACCAGGGGTAGAGGCTTAGCCCCCACATTGGCATGGGGTGGGAGGGGAGGGACACACACACAAGAGAGCCTCACACCTCGGTTCCCCGAGTATGGCGGGAGACGAGGTTAGACGGGACCTGGACCGGCAGGCTCCACCGTTTTGTTACGCAGGAGGCAGAGAGGGAAGAACACACAGCTAGCGTGTCAAACCCAGTGTTCCTTGGTTGTAGAAAGGCTTTCCAGAAATAAATCAAGGACAATGGAACAGATGTGGGGCGCGATGGCAGGAGAGATCACGGTGTGCTCGTTGGCACTCCAGGGGGCAGAAGTACCGCTTCCCCCACCAGGCGCGGCCGCTGGTCTGTGGGGAGGGAGGGCCCACCAGCTGCCCTGCACACCCTGGGCTGCGGTACGGAAGTTTCCACGCTCCAGGCCGATGCGTGAGAGGAAGGGGTCCCCGGGGAAGACCCTCCCCACCACACTGGCTCCCCATCGGCCCGTCCGCTCCCCGCTCAGAGCATCCTGGGGGCCCCTGGCTGAGCAGCTGGTCCCCCTCATGTTGGCCCTGCCCTGCAGATCCTGTCACCACTGTCCGACGCCATCTTGGCGGAGAAGACCATCACCGTGCTGGAGGAGAAGGTGACCATCACAGACCTCGGGGTCCAGCTGGTCACCGGACTCTCGCTGTCCCTGCAGCTCAGCCCAGGGAGCAACAGGGCCATCTTTGCCACCGCAGTGGCTCAGGAACTTCTGCAGAGGCCCAAACAGGTGAGGAGCCAGGACGGAGTCACCGCCGGGCAGGTCTTCCACCACACACCCGAGACCACCACACTAGAAACCATCCAAGGGTAGATGGTTGCCTCCATCCACAGATGCAAATTCTTGGCAAAGTCCAGCCTTCTCTTTGTCAAGTCAGATGGCTGCCAGGATGGCAGCAAAGAGCTAACTAGAGGCCGTTCCTGTCTCCTCGCGGTGATGCCGCCAGGTGGCCTCCAGCTGGGAGCCAGGGCGATGGCGGGCAGTGGGAACGGGGTGGTGTGCCAATCCGGTTCTGACACACAAACGCCGGCTGCGTGCCCCCGGTCCCCGCTGCAGCCTGGCTCTGACATTCCAGCTTGGAGAAACCTCTTGTGTGCGTGAGCTTCCTGCCGAGGCTTCACAGCACCTGGTGGAACCTGGTAATCCATGCCGGGTCCTGGGGCTTCTGCATCTTGGCCGTGTTTTCCACACAGCAGCTAATTCAAGCCAAGGCCTAACAAGATAAGGAATCGTGCATGGGCTGAGCCGGAGAAAGGAGCCGAGCTCACGCAGAGCGAGAGAGGGGCAGGGGAGGGAGGGGGCGGACACGGAGCCCGACCCAAGCCAGCTTCATTAGCGCAAGGGGAATCTCTGCCCCGCTAGCGGGCCCAGGGCAGCCCCTGTCAGGCCACACCTTCTCCTCTGTGACGTCATTTGGCCTGTGTTTGTCTTCCGTGGATAAATGTGGCACCCAAACATTTGCCTTTTCAAGAGAGGCATCGCTGCCCAACGGAGAGTTCTCGGGCCTGCCCCCACCGCTGACGCATCCGTCTGTCTTTCTTCTTTCAAACGTGCAAGGGAGGGAGAGAGAAGACACTGACCAGTGGCTGAGTTCTGCTCAAAGTGACACCTGTCGGGCAGCAGGGCAGCAGCTCATCTCTGTGCCGAGGGCTGATGAGGCAGGGGAAGGGCCGTTCATTCCTCCTTCTCCTTTGGGCGGTGTGCGCTGTCCAAGGTGCTGAATCCGCTGTGGCCTCAAGGTTTACCTCGCACCAGGGGTTCTCTCTCATGACCTGCCCGCTCAACCTGCTCATAAAAGGTGTCGGTGGGAAGCACTGAAGGGAGAGATGGAGATGAACAGAGACCTTGGCCTGCTATTTTTTGGGGGCATCTTCCACTTTCCCCCCAGTCCTGGGGGGTGGGGTGGGGGGCAGGAAGAAGGTGGAGGCAGTCTCCAGCCAGGGCTCCTTCTCCGGAACTCCAGGCCCATGGCTTTGTCTCCAGGTAAGTATACATCTATTCCAGGGGAAGCAGAGATGGGAGGGCCGGTAAAACCAACAGTGCCTCCGGGGTCCCTGTCCACACTAGAGCCTGGAATCTGTCATGTGCAAAAAGACCAGACTCGGTGCTCAGACAAGCTAAAGGCAGCCTGCTGGGGCCTGCTGGGGCCTTTCCCTTTACACGCGTGACCCTCATCCACCACACCCTCCACCCCTCCTGCAGGTCCCGAGCGGTCCACCAGGCCTCTGCCTTCCAACCCCCAGGAAAATACAGCAGATTCTACTGTGGCCTTTTTCATCCTGGCCCTGCTTTGCTGCCTGTATTGTTGTCCTGTTTTGTTCTGGTTGTGCATATGTATAGACATTAATCTTCTTCCCTCGGTCCTTCCCGTTCCCACACCGACTCTGCTGTCCCGCCCATCTTCACCTCCTTCCTTTCCTCTACAGGAAGTGGCCATCAGCTGCTGGGTACAGTTCAGCGACGCGTCTGTCACCCCCTTGGACATCTATGACGTGAGGGACTTCTCCCTGCTGGCCACGTCGCTGGATGAGAAGGTGGTCTCCATCCACCAGGACCCCGAGCTCAAGTGGCCGGTCATCACCGCGGAGGCCGAAGGCCAGGGCGCTCTGGTCAAGGTGGAAATGGTGATCAGCGAATCGTGCCAGAAGTCCAAGCGCAAGAGCGTGCTGGCCGTGGGGACGGCCAGCCTCAGAGTCCGACTTGGCCGGAACAATGCCAGCCCCAACGCCAGCGATGGCGGGCAGCCCGGGGCGGGAGTCCGCCTGGAGCACAGCATCAGCGACCGGAGGCCCCAAAGGCCCCTGCAGGACCGGGACCAGGAAGGGCCGCAGCACGGCAGCCCCTCCCTGGGGCTCCTGGAGGGGCCCGCGTGGGGCGGCACCACCGAGCGGCCGGCCTTCCAGAGCAGGGATGGCCAGGCCAGCCTGCTGGAGGATGACAGCCACTGGCAGATGGCCACCACGGACCTGGCCAGCTTCCCCAGTCAGGCCGACCTCCCCAGGAGCCCCGTGGAAATGGAGGAGGGAGACCCGGCCCCGGGCCGCGGCCTGGGTGACCTGGAGGTGGGCATGTACGCGCTGCTGGGCGTCTTCTGCCTGGCCATCCTGGTGTTCCTCATCAACTGCACCACCTTCGCGCTCAAGTACAGGCACAAGCAGGTGCCCTTCGAGGGGCCGGAGGGGCTGAGCCATGCCCACGACTGGGTGGGGCTGAGCAATCGGACAGAGCTCCTGGAGCACCCCGTGGACTTGGCCTCCGCCCCGAGGGAGCAGACCACCGCTGTGGACGGAGGCCTGGATGTGGAGGAAAGCAAATACCTGCTGAGCGCCGGCTCCCCGAGCAGCAGCGGCAAGGAGCATCTGCTGAGGCCGGCGGGAGCCGAGCCCGCCTGCTGGGAGGAGCCACCGAGCGAGCCGCCCGCCTCCCCTACCTCCAAAAGGAAAAGAGTGACTTTCACCACCTTCTCGGCCATCTCCTCGGACGCCGGGGGCCCCGCAGGGAGCACGGGGCTGATGGGCAGCGTGGGTGACGTCCAGTGGGTCTGCCCGGACCTGGGGCGCAGGGAGCACACACCGCCGCACGGCTCCCGGGAAAGGCTCCAGGAGCATGTGTGAGCCGGGCCACGCACACACCGCCTCTCACCATTCGGCCTTCAATCCGGCACGGGTGGCCGCCGAGCACCCCGGGAGCCAGGGGTCACAGGACAGGATGGGTGACCCCGGCAGTACGGCCCCCTCCGCAGCCGGGGGCCCCAGGCCTGCATTACCCAGAGCTCAGAGGTGTATTGTGCATGACAGGGTTTCTCATCTTGGTACGCAGATGGCTTCCAAATCACTGAGCGGTGAGAGTCTGCTCTTGAATCACAGCAACTCAGGTTTGCTACTCACCACGTGACTTCCGTCCTGGATTTAGCAGACCAAGGAGAAGCAGCGGAGCTGGAGGCCGAGAGGTGCTCAGTTCAGAGCAGCGTCTCCCGTGAGCAGAGCCCGCCGCGCCGGCCCTTGCAGGGGGGTCCCGGGCTGCCGTCCTGGGCACCGGTCCCACAGTCAGCCCCACAAGGGTCAGCAGGGTGCAGAGTCAAAGTGACCGGGGTTGGTCACCACCCCTCAGAAACGAAGCCTGTGAAGACCCGGAGAGCAGCCGCCAGAGGCCTCCCCTCCTCTTGGACTCACTCCAACGCAGAGAAGGCTGGGCTGGCTATTTGCCCACCGGGCAGGACCCTCCGTCGAGAGGGCCTGCCAGAAGCCTTGCGCTCATCTTTCCCTCTGTGTTGTTCAGCTTCACATCGTTTTCTTTCTCTCTGCTCTGCTGCTCTCTTTCCCAACCTCTCTCTCCTCTTTGTGTCTCGTTCTTGTAGTTCTCTGAACCTACCTGCTTCTCCTCTGTCACGGTCTGCTTCCTTCTCCTGGTCTTCTCCTTCTTCTCCTCTTCCCTTTGCTCACCTTCCTCCTCCTCTTCTCTTCCACGTCACTGCACTTCCTTGAGAGCCACCAGCCCCCCCTTTCATCCCGGTTCTTCCCGCCTGACCCTCTCTGGCTGTGGTGCTGCCACCTGTGTGCTCTGAGCCCCAGCCGCCCACGGCCAGCGGGTCGCCTGTTCCTCCTCTCTGCAAGATGATTTATCTTTGAGGTGGGTGGCCAAGCTGTCACCCGATCCTTCGCCCTCAGTTGCCTCTGAACACATCTCCTCCCATTCTTACCCCTGTGCTGTGCAGCCGTGGCTGCAGCGACGGCTGGCCCCGGCCCATCTCTGTGCGGAATGTATTGTAGATTGTAAGAATGTAATATATATTTATAAACTTCCAGGCTGTAAATACAAACCATGCACTCTGAGGCTTCACGGCTGCGCTTTGTCTTTCCACACGCTGACCCCTCCCAGGGCCTGGCATCAATTGCAAATGGTGCTCCCCACGCTGGGCCTTTTGGTAAATGAAAATGCAGATTTGAGGATCCAGCACAATCCAATTACACCCTGACATCGTGTAATGCCACTCTCTGCACCGAGGAGATGCTGACACCGGATGACAAAATGCATTGTGGGTTAAGTATCTCTCCTTCAGGACCTGAAAGGATTTGCAAATAAATCACACGTGTAATTCTCTCCTAAAAGCCTGCTGACAGATGGCAAATGAGAGTCACAGGAGCCGCCGTGGCAGACAAGGGTCTACTCGGGCCTCCCTTCCAGCTGGAGGGAGGAAACGCTCGGTCCTCCCCCGAGGGACGGGGCGGGCCCAGAGACTGACCTTTAGGCCTCTGTCTCCGCTGCAGCCCCCGATGGCATGGCGGGGGTGCGGGGCGGGGGAGGGGATCGGCAGCGGCCCGGCAGCCCCAGCTCGGGGACCCCGCCCCAGCGCGTGGGCACAGAACGCCAGTTCCATTGGTTTCCATCTCGGGGATGGAGGAAGCACTTCCCCAGGAAGTTCCCCGCCAGTCCACGGGACGTGCACACTCCAGAGAGAGAGGCGCTTCCCGGGCATCTTCTGGAAAACAGGAATAGGAATGAAGCTCACCACGTCACGTGGGACACACGGACGCCGTGGAGGGACGCACGGACGCCGTGGAGGGACGCACAGACGCCGTGGAGGGACGCACGGACGCCGTGGAGGGATGCACGGACGCCGTGGAGGGACGCACGGACGCTGTGGAGGGACGCACAGACGCCGTGGAGGGACGCATGGACCAGGCCATGGTGACTGCAGCCGCCGTGCGGTGTCCCGTGGCTGGGAATGGCATGCGGCACATGGCCCGCTGGGCTGTTGATTACGGCCGCAGCCCTGGCTAATCCAACAGCTAGGATCAGGAGCCGCCCAGTCAGTGCAGCGGCTGCTCCCGTGCTGGCCTGGGAGCCGCTGGGGCTGGCGGCAGGCCACCCCGGGTACTGCTCCCTCTGAGGGGCTGCGTGGCCCGGCTGCCAATGTCTGGCCTGCGGGGCAGAGCGGACACATCATCTCCAGAGCAGAGAGGCCTCCAGAGGCCTCATTGTGACTCTCATTGCCAGCCGTGATGGGCCTGGCAGGAGGAGCAAGCTCGTTATCCGGCTGGGAATCCAGCTAAGAGCAGACTGCCTCCGCTGTCTGCACAGCTGTACAGGAGCAAGTGCTGCCGCTGTACTTTCCAGGGCCCAGGGCCCTTGGGCGTGCCAAGAAACTTAAGGTCAGGAAACAGCAAGACCGAACTCTGTGCCAAACCCCACTCCTGAGAGTTGGCAGACACGGGCCGGGCTCCAGCCCCAGCCTCGGCCCTCCAGCCCCAGCCTCGGCCCTCCAGCCCCAGCCTCCACCCTCCAGCCCCAGCCTCCACCCTCCAGCCCCAGCCTCCACCCTCCAGCCCAGCCTCCACCCTCCAGCCCCAGCCTCGGTCCTCCAGCCCCAGCCTCCACCCTCCAGCCCCA